TACTTAATTACTTATTTATTAGTATTATAAAATACACTCTTCAGACATAAGTTATGTTTATTTTAACTATTAGGTACCCTACAGTTATGTACCCGCCATGTATGCATTTCCTTTTTATTATATGATGTTGAAGGAATTCTTTTTATTCATAGATCTTAATGTATATTTTATAATGTATTTTATAATGTAGAATCTGACGTTTTCCAATGACTTGTATATTGTAAGTTTTACAGGAAATAAATTGATCTTATGTCTTATTGAAAAATTTTAACAACATAGCATATTAAAACATTATTTTTATTTACAAACTTATCTTTCTATTAAAATGGATGTGTAGCTAAAAAATCTCATTGATTTGTTTACACTTTGGTTTGATAACAATTTAAGTTGTACTATGTATAAACAAATGTCTGTAACTAGAATAATATACTTTTATTATTATTGCAGTAAGAAACCAACTATTATGATAAGAGTTTGATTTACTTGTAATATATTGGTGTCACGATTTGGGATAAATGTTGTTATAAGTTTCACTGAAACATGTTTCTCAGCATGGCTAAACGAAGAAGATTTCAATTTAAAACTTCATTTACACCGATAAAATGAAATACAATAACAAAATGCCTACTTCATCCTCAGCATTGTCCATGAAATACAGCAGGACTCTGGCTGAATTACTTTAAGATATTGCATTGAGTTGTTTAATTTGAAAAAAGGTATGAGTACTGAATAAATCTTTCCAGCATTGTAAGAGTTCTTTCCTTCATTTAATTCAGTAAAGACTTCCATTTGGGCGATTTGTACTTTAGGAAAAGGTTAGATACAATTAAACTTATTAAATATATAATTTACATATATTAGTATTTTTTTTACTAACAAAAAAGTGATAATTTTGTACTACTTAAGGTAATAATTAAAATTATACAATATTAAATAGCTGACACATCCCCCATACTATGCTAAAATCTAGATGAAATTGTATCAACAAAAATAAATTACTATTCAGTGCTTGAATTTGCAATAGAAGGGAAATACGTAACTAAAACTAAGCTTGTCCAAATGATTAATTACAGGTAAGCTTAACTCAAATGGCCGATTTACACAAACATTACACGCAATGTTACAGTAATTTACTGATTTGAACATTAAACATGTTGACAATCATGGCTTGATCTTTGTATAATAAATGAGTTACACATCAAGACAAACTGGACTTGAACATGCAACCTTTTAAAATGAAACGTTTGTAGTGATCATTTTCATTTGTCTCTGTTGTCAAAATATTTGATCAGATTTGTTTAAGCGCTGGGAAAAGTATCAAATGAATTTAAGTGAGGCAAAGTAACTACGTTGCATTGAATGGTAAAAGATTTAAAAAAAGTATCTTCATGTTAAAACTAGTTATATAATAAATATGTTAAAATAAAAAAGTAAAATAAAATTAAAATAAAAAATAAAAGTAAACCCTCAAGTCTCAAGATAAATTTAAGATAGTCTAAATTGACTTAGCAGATATAAAATATTAAAATTGTATTTTAAAATTGCTAACAGTATTGAGACAAATATTAGAATCATTTAGTTTAAACCATTGTTTAAACTAAAGGCATATTTGTATATTTTAAAAATTGCATAAAATAATGATGTACAAACGAATTTACTTGTTAAGGAATACTTTTTCATTGAATAAATGAAGAATAAAGTAATGAAAGATATAGAGGTGATGATGGTGCATACCACCATGTTATTTTAATGATCTTGTACTGTTTTTTTGGTGCCATGTACCACCTCGGTCTAAAATTATTTAGAAGTAAATGAGAAGAGAATCATACAGTATTAAAATAAGCATTAAAACCAGAAAATAAATATTACGTAGAACTTGTATCAATGTTTTTATATAAACAGTTTTAAGCCTTTAGGGAATTTCAAATTTAATTTCTGAACCATTGAATACTATGTTTAGAGTTTTTAATTTTACAACTATTTACACTTTTAACCCTAGACTAGGATTTGAGTCTCTAAAATCATAAATTTAATAATTTAAGTTCTAAGACAACTTTCGTGAAATTCCATTATTACAAAAAAAAAACATGAAAAAGCATGTTTGATTTCAATAATTAATAAATATACTAGGTGTGCAATGCAGTTGTCTGCTTACAAAATTGAGCGGAAGTAACCTATTAAGTCCAAAGTTCCTAAAGTCTATGCTTCATTGCTAAATCTGTTTTACGTAAATGGGATGTCTATTTGCAGTACCTATCTAAAGTCAATGCTGCATCTGGCTCTCATAAATGAAATGTCTACGTGCAGTACCTATCCAAGTCAATGGCTTATCTGGTTCTCATAAATGAAATGTCTACTTGCAGTTTCCAAAGTCAATGGTATATTCGATCACATAGGAACATTTATTCACAGTATCCAAGGTCAATGGTAGGGCCTACATTTGTTTTACATAAATGGAATGCCTATTTGGAGTATCAAAAGTCAAATGGTGCATTAGCCTAATTGGGTATTCATTTCGTTATAAATTATGCTAAACGGTATTAATCCGACTGTTCTTCCCTTTTGTTCTGTAATTGTAATGTGCTGATGTTGATGATTTGTTGATAAACACATGTTATGATTATTTTGTTAACTTTTTGTTGTTATCTTTCGAATATGGTCATGGTGACCAATAAATGTATAAAGGCCCATTTTTAATTTCTAAAAGTTTAAATTCATATATTAAAAAGCCATGTAGTCCGATTGGTACCACTTCAGATTTATACCTTCCTATAGTTGGTTGCTATGACTGTGTTAAATTTCTTGCTGATCGCTTCATTTGTTCAGGAGGAGTATTTGTAAAACAAAAGCAGTATAAGAGCTTCGCTCACTCGGCCCAATTAAATGGGAAGAATATTTCGATGATGAATATTTTTTTATTTTTTTTTGTTACACTTTTTAGCCACCTTTTCATATGTGGCTTTTTAGTGTTCATTAAGCTCTATATAAACTTGAACAGGTTCCAAACCATCAGAACATAGTTTTTCTACCTTATTGGCAATGAAAATACATTGCATTCCCTATACACAATCCAGATACATTAATAGCCATGGATGATGATGCTTATAAAAAGAAATTGCTACTTTGACACAAGATGCCACACCCAGCTATTACCGTTCTCATATCACATTTTCACCTCATATGTTCACAAATAAATGTATCTGTTATCACGTGTATGCAATGAAAATATGGTGTATTGTTGAAATATTTTTTTTAATCATATGTGACATTTATCATTTTTTTTACTTAAGAATAAGGAGGAGGATACTCTTAACACTTACGATTTACAGCAATTTTGCTGGATAAATATTTTACAATTCTGCAATTTTTTGCCTTTTTCCTATTTAAAAGTTCAACTAAACAAAACTCACGACATTTACTAGCAAAATTAATTTTGTTAAGCCTATAGTATTAAAAAAAGGCTAAAAACTGAAAACTTAACCTGTTCAACTAAGCATGTTTAGCAATAATGGAATAAAAGTAAAATTAAAACTAACGAAAGGAAATAAAAAGTTCTGGCTTTCTGAAACAAATACTATTTTTATATTACATACAAAATATGGTAGGTTACTCAAAATATGTTTACAGTAATTAGTTTTTTTATACATTGAATTAAAGTTAAGTTTAATTTTGGAAGAATTAATCAACACGAGACCTAACGCAAGTGTAAGCAATGGCGGCTTTATGAAAGGAGCATTCTTCATGATGAAAGCGGACTTAAGTAACAGTAATAATTAAAACCACTCACAGAACATATCCTTTACATTGGCAAACACCGAGGGAGATATGTATTTCCTGGTGAAGCCTGCTCTAAACTTAATTATTTAGACTTAATACCAGAGGGCTGTATTTTTACGAATAGGTAATAAATTAACTAACAAAATCTGTTTTAAATTGTAACAAAAATCTATTTAAATGTATGTCAAACTGTTTGGCTGTTATGCATTACGTATTTTATGCGTTGAAAGATCTGATTACTTTACTTATTTGTTGTATATGAGTTTTTATTCCCGATCTTAAATTATCTTAGAGCTCAGCGATCTAGGATACGAGGTTACTCTATTAAACTAAATAATTTTGTATTGGGCTTCATGGAACTAGTAAAGAAATTACAGCGTTTACAAAACATTGATATCCGTTTTTGAGCGATAAACTACGCCTAACCAATTTGCTAACCAACACCCAACAACACCAGACACAAAGATATACTATTGAAAACTAAAACAAGGTCTTAACTGTTTATTAATAACCTGTTCATTATTTTCTTTAAGAAAAATATTGTTAGATGTCCAGAATATGAGACTATAAACGAGACTATAGAAAATTACCTACTTCAATAGCTAAATGCATTTGGTTTTGTCAAGCAAGCAGTGACCTTAATTTTTTCAATTTAATTTTCAATTTTTATATATATTTTCCCAAGTTTTCTGCAATAATTGTACTGAAGAGTTTCTGAACACTTAGAGCAAGCTGGTCAAAGAAGCCTTAAACAGTAGTCATGTAAACTGGACACCAGGTAAGCCATACAGTGTATATTTCTCTGTGAACCGACAAAAGTATGTTTACGTAAGTTCCAAGGAACCCTACCTAGCCCAGTGTTATTTTTGACCCCACAAGCCGCACTGGCGGCAAACTAGAAATCTCGTTATATTCAATAGTTACAGCGCCTTTACCTTACTGATCTAGCGCCACTTGCGGACATCAGGTGCATCTGGGCACATTTACCTGACTGAGGCACAATCGTGTGTTAGCGCAATAACCATGTTAGACATATGTCATGTATTTTCTTCAACAAGCTAAATTTATGTAATTCTATTTTGTAACGTAATTTTTTTACCTTTAAGTCCGATAACCGGGACTACCAACTTTCTGCCAACTCAGCGCTCTAGATCCAATCACACCGATTTCTGGGGACTTAACTACATATTTTTTCCGAGCGAACGCTTTACGAAAATTCTTACCTTGTTCTGGTCAGTCCAGTAGAGATAGAAGCCCTTTTCGTCCACCCTCAGAGTGACTGGGGTGCCTACTCCACTGTCCTGAAAACAAACATGAATAATACAGTCATTGACTATGGATACTGAAGTAATAGTTTTCATCCTAGTGTAAAACCAATGTTAAATTGTACATGTAGATGTAAACCCGATTATTTTCATGGTTACAAAATTACAGGAAGGAAAGCAAATCACCTGATTTTGGGTGTAGCTTACAACGAATTTTCTCCTCAAAACTTACCACTTATATCCAGTTTATTTTAGACTAGCAGAGTACCCATCCTTCGTACGGGATTGGCATTTAAGTATAAAATGCTTTTAAATTCCATGTTGATGGCCCCTGGATTACTTGACGAGGTATTGTACCATTATTATAGTCATAAAATGCTTACTGCAGTTATACTCAAGCTTTGCGTTTGCAATGGGGGAGGACACGATTTAATAAAATTTGCTTCTTTAAATTTACGGTATACTATAGTATTACACATCTACCATAGCCATAATATTCTTCCACTTCACCCAAACAATAGAGAAAAATAAATTGTTAAAGATTCGCAAAATATCACTAATGATTCATGAAATTAAAAACATAAAAGTAACTGTAAACAATCCTACTTTGGTTTTCATTGCATATCATAGTTTTTTGTTGTTGCTTAGTTGTTTCCATAAATGCAAAAAAGTAATAGTTGTGCACCCTGTTGGTAAATATTATAACTTTTAATGATTTTACATACCATAGTTAACCAACTTTTTAAGTTGAAACAGCTGACTAAATTCTATTATTCCCTTTAAATATGAATACTCAACAGGTTAACATGTGGAACCACAGAGCCACTGTTGCGGAGCCCTAAAGGATTTTTGAGATAAGAATATGCCTATATGTTAATCGGGAATGTGAGCTATAATCATGCCAAATTTCAGCCCAATCCGACCATTATTTTTCACGTTTACTTGTCACAAACATACATACATACATTCAAACTTTCTCATTTATAATATTAGTAGGATTTCTTTCACCAAAATCTACAAAGACAGTTAGGTTAACTCTTCATAAGTTGTACATCACACTAAAACGATATGGGATTCAAACCCCCAATAAAATATGTGGTTCCTAGTCGAGGAGACAAAGATTTGGAGTTAAGATCAATCAACCGATGGCTTCCCGCATAATAACCTTGGTTAACCAAATGCTAAGAGTAGTAGTTTAAAACTTCACTCTTAGCAAGTTAGATTTTAAAAAATATTAGTTTTTATTAAAAAAAATAAAAATGAGTCGGTGGCTAGTCGGTAGCGGACTTCGGGCCCAAGGCAGCGATATCGTGGGTTCGGATCCTGGTACCACGCACGTGCGTTTAGTCTATGTTGACGGGCAAATGCAAGGTTAAAAGAAGCCGACAACCTCTTAAAAAAAATTAAAATTAAAAATAGTTGGTGCACACACCATTATAGCTTACAGCAGTTTTGTTAAAGAATTTAAACCGCATATATAGTAGTTCGTGTTTTGTGAGATTCTAAAATGATCAGATATTTTATAATTGAGAACTGATAATTACTTTTGAGTAAGCTGTATTTATAAATAGCTCTTCGTCAAATAAACTGACAAAATGTAACAAAATACCAAAGTTTGCTTAAGCATAGAGACTAAAATATTAAAATAGAGAACTATATATCAACAAAAAGAGTCTTGTTTCCCACAATATTTTCTTAACACTCCACAAGTCCATCCCGTTTACTTTGTTCTTATTAAAAAACTTTGCATGTTTAACCAACTGTTTTAAGCTGAACCAAATATTATTCTTTGCGTCTCTCAAGGAAATATTAAAACTTAATTTAAAAGCAGCTTAAGTAACAAAAAATTGAAGCCTAACAATTTTATAGCTGAAATAAACCTACGAGACAAAAAATCTAACCGTACTATCATAATTTAAAGGGATTCTGTGTATCTAATGGTCCAGTTAAAAGGCAAAACACGACCAACCCTCTGAATTCTAATATTTTTTTGTATAGGGACGAATCGTAAAAGGTTGGAAACATTCCCAGCGTGATTTATCCAATTATTTTCACACCATAAGGTTTAACAAAATTATATAATATAATTGAGAATATTGTTATCAAGTCTTGAAGAATCTTTCTTCATCTCATACTAATTTAAATACTATTAACACCGTACAACAATTGTTTATCAACTAATTCTCATTAATAATAAGGACAAGATTTTAATATCGTTAACTTTTAAGATGAGTATTCAAAATAAACTTTCATCAATGAAAACAAGGCGATAAATTCCGTTGGTAAATTCAACGATTATGAGCTCGCCTAGAAGAAATAAACGATCAGTGCTGCCAAAACACCAAGATGAACAACCAAACAAACAAGCTGTGGCTGGGTCAATAAACACCACCAGCTAACACTGCATTACTGGCAGCGAATGTGGTTCTAGAAGTAATTATGTGCTTCGTAGTTCGTACAAAAAATTAGAGAAAAAATATCCCAACTACATTTAATTAATACCCCCGCCGCAGCAAACCTGCAGACTAAACGAATTTCAACTTGTCTGATTACATTTTTACTAAAATATTTCCATAAATAAGACATATGTATTCCCAATTTAGATAACATTAGATTTAACGAATGCTTAGGTTTGCTGCTACGGGGAAGGTAAAAAGTGTTTTTGACCATATCTCAATAGTATAAGATGAAATAAATATAATTTGCCAAATTTTATCAATATATATCCATAAACAAGTAAACTACAGCAATTTTCATTTTCTCCAAAAGAATAACATGGGAATTTTAAATCACACTATTTTCTCCGTGACTGATAGGTATACAACAGCGCTTCAATATACTAAATTATTTCTTTTTTTAAGCTCTACAAAACGGTTTGCAAAATTTTTTGTTTTTAGGGTTTAGTTTTTAACTACGACTTAGGTTTGCAGCTACAGGGAAGGTAAACAGGTGTTAATGTGGATAGATTCTAGGATGAAATAAATCAATTTGCCAAATTCATTCAAAATAAATCGATGAACAAGGTAAATTACAAAAGTATACTTATTCCCTAAAAATAACATAAACATTTTAAATTAAAATTTTTTAAGTTTTCTCGATAGCCGATAAAATTGTAAAAAACACTTTATTGTATAAAATTAAATGTTTTTAGCTCTACAAAATAGTTTAGAAAAATTGGGGGGTTCTATTTTTATTGTTTAAGTTATATTGTTTTTTTACCCAACCCAAATATTACATGTACTGAGAGACACTTTAACGACAACACAAGCTTTTATGTTGGTACCGGTACCCAGTTATTTTTAATTCATTGCCGATCAGCTGATATGCACTGTTGCATTGTTGTGAGGTTAATAACTTGGTTTTTGATTTACCAAGGATAAATAATTAATGAAAAGTAAGTTTGAATCCATACTAAAAGCAATTTTCCCCTTTCACAGGTGTAGCTGTCAATAAATAATTTCCCTAACCCTAAACCAATTAAAAATACTCAAATAATTCTAATTCTCAAAGGAAAATTAATCTGCAGTTCACCTCGATTTAATCAAAAGAAAAAGCCAAACAAAACTTGAAACAAAAAGGAAAGAATGTGTTCTTATTCGGGTGCAAAATATTACTTCCTGGTGTCAAAACAGGACTGCAAACAACAGGAGAAGAGGAAGCAAACATCAAACATGGCAGTAACAATAAACAACAAGAGACAGTCAGACATACAACCACCTACCACTTGCGATTGTTATTAATGTCAACATTTGTCCAAGTAAATGTTAATGTCGCAGAGAAAACATAGATTCCCTTCTATCTTTCTCATGAATTCACTGTGTCTATGGACCCTAGTGTGTTTTCAGTGTTCCTCAAAATATCGGCTGACTACCAAAATATATATTGTTTGGTGGTCGAAGATATTACAAATTATAACTAAATTGTATTTAAGACTTTAGAACAATTACGAGTATGTATGGTACCGTTTTAACCTCACATTATATTACAGTATTTAAACGGCAAATTTTTAGACGGTAAAAACGACTGTACAAAATCAATTTTAAAGATAAAAATCGTAAAAATTATAACATTTTTGTTATATTAAACAGTTATAAAGATCTCTATGTGAAGAATACAAATTAATCACTTTTTAAACTATAATAACAGTTAATTATAACTATTACATAGGGTACCGGAACATTCAACAGTCTATCCACAAACTATTTGAAAATATATACCCGATTATAAGGATCTATAAGGGGGGAGGAAAATAAAAGATAAATTACCAAAAATCATTAATGAAAAAAATTGATATCGCCTACACGGTTATAAAAGCCTAATAGCAAGTGCTATATTAGTTTTGGCGTTTTTTTTTTTTACCTTCAACTTTTTTTACGTCTTTATCCACCTAGCTTGGTGTAGATGTTTGATATGAAATAATTGATTGACAATAGATAGCACCTGAACAAGGTATTATCTGCCTGAAACCATTACTAAAAATCAAAGAAAAACACACTAGCATTTAATGCACTAATTAAAACAAAGTACAAAAACGGCTGGACAAGGGTACATATGTATTAGCGTATAACAAAATGGCTACGAAGTACCATTTACAATATAAGCTAAATAATTGAACGAATAAAATTGTGTTTCCCTCCACCGCCTCTATTGTTTAACAGTAATTTCTATTCTTCAAACACCAGTGATTACTTATTCATTTGTAATCATCGTGCCCTCTCTTTATACAATGTACACTATCTTCTATTTACCATTTCACATTAACGCGTACCTCAATCACTTCAGCAACAAATTTCACCACTCGTGGCCGAAAGTTCTCCAAAGTTCTCCAAAAACAACTCACAGGAAACTGTTCATTAGCATCGCACAAACACCTCTTAGTGGGAGTGAAACCCTTTACGTTAATAGTAGGAAAGATTTAACCGCTCAATTTAATTAAGTAACTCGTAAATCATCACTGGTACCAAACCGACTCTTTGGCAAAGCTCTTGCGAGAGCTGCCAACGTTACGACGTGGTTCTACTTTAGTCTGTGTAAAT